GTATTCGACACATTTTTCTATTAGAGATTTTATCACTTGTAGGTGATCGTTAGTACTATAGCCAGAACGAAAGCCAGCCTGTTCACAGGGTTGGTAGCTGTCAAGTTTGTTGGTGAGCCGCTTTGTAATTACTGCCATGAATAGCATGTATACGTGGGAATTAGGCTAATTGGTCGATTCCTCAGATCTGTGACATCGCCTTTCTTGTGCATAATTATGATGACAGCATTTGTCCATTGAGAAGGAGTTGTACCCTTTAGTAGGCAGGCATTGAATAGTTTTTGGACTACAACCAGCAAGGTTGATCCTCCTTCCTTGATATACTCAATTGTTATGTCATAATCGCCAGGCGATTTGTTAATCTTCATATTTTTGATAGCTGACTTAATCTCTTCAATAGTTACCTCTGGGATATCTTACGATCCCACGTTCTGGACTTTTGCTATTTGCTGTTGATTTAGTGGTTCACCTTGGTTTGAATATAGCTCTGAATAGAAATCCGTCACTACTATAAGCAATTTCTCCCTGCTCGTAACAATGTTCCCATATTTATCTGCTAACTTCCAGATGTTTCTTTTGCCCAAATTTAGTCTGCGTCGGAGTATCTTCATGCTTTTATTTTCTTCAATCGTTTTTTCTACCTGTGATGTGTTATATGTTCTAATGTCTTTTCTGATAGCTTTAGAGATGTATTTATTTAGCTGTCTTAGAGAGGGTATAGTTTGTTGTTTATTTGCCCAACACTTCCCTTCTATACTTCATCATATTTAATGTGTTTGTACTCAATTTTTCTTGCCTTTTCCTAATTTCACTACAGCTTTCTTTTCGGGCTTCTTGTATCGAATGGATAATTTGTTTATTCAGGTCTTCAACGTTTATGTGTTCTTCATTTCTGTGTTCAACATGTTGTAGATTGGACGTAACCATTGTTTCAAAGGCATCTATATCACAAATGCAGTTCTGCTTAAGCTTTCGTGTTCCAGATATCATCTTTTCTCGTTCTTTCCTTGTGTTGATTACAATTTTTGTTCGGACTAGGCGATGGTCACTGCCCACAGTGAAATTGTTTAGTACGGTGACATCTTGTATTATATCATTTCTATTTGATATTATAAAATCAATTTGGTTCTTCGTAACACCGTCGGGACTCAGCCAAGTCCATTTGCGCTGGTCACTCTTTTTAAAAAAGGAGTTCATACATAGCAGTTTACGGTGTAACATGAAATTCCGAAGCATACCGCCTCTACCGTTTCTTTCTCCATAACCGTAAGGACCCAGAGCAAATTCACTATCGTCTAATTTGTGGCCTAATTTTGCATTAAAATCGCCAAGAAGGATCGTATACTGTGCTTGGTCTTGTCGTATTGCTTTAGATATAGATATCTTCGTAAAAGTTGTCGCCTTCATCGTCACTGTGAGTTGATGTTGGTGCATACACTTGGATAATTTTCATTTTGTTTCTTTTATTAATATCTAGTAATAGATATATAACCCTTGTTGAGATACTTTATATTTTTAGTATTTTTAGTATACTGTTTTTGTGTGTTTTGTTGATGATAAAGCCTACTCCCCCTTCTAGCATTTCTTCCTTTCCTCTGTTGTGGAACAGATGTCCTGATTTGAGCTCTATTTAGTTCTCTCCCTTGCGTCGAACTTCACTGATACCTAACCCATCCAATTCCCATTTAATGTAACTTAGCTCTTCTTCTAGTTCGTGCATTTTTTGGTCGGTTGATAGTGTTCTTATATTATACGTGGCAATATGTATTTCCCTTTTTCCATGGTAGCCGGATCTATCCCGGAGATTCTTCGCACCCTTTGCTCTTAGCCTTGTCTGATTGCTACCGTAATCAGGGACTTTTAAGCCGCCGGGGACTAAGGGCCATTGTGTATTTTGTGTGTACATCTTTTTTTTTCTGTGGGGTTTATTTAGCCTGATACTCTGGTAGAGTATCAGGCTAAACCACGCTGGCCATTGCGGGTTGGTTGAGGGATGATATGACCGATTACATTTCGTTAATCCTCGGTTTAACAGTTATACCGGCTGTGACTCGGTCGCCAGCGCCTAGTTAGTTGTCTAGCAGGAGGTACCGGATAGCTGAGGAGATCGGCCACCACTCGTGCAGGTGAGGTTAGCATTTCAGCAGGCTTCATCCAGTTGCCATCGCTCCTTACCCCCCTTCGGGTGTAAATAAGACTTTATAATTGTAAACTTTGTATTCTTTGCAGTTTATCAAAACTGCCGTAGACAAATCGATAATTTACTAAAACGTACTGCCAGTCGGTAAAGTCAGACATTTTTTAACCATCTTTCACAGTTTTGAGTTAATTAGGACCTAATTAGGACTTAAGAGCTATTTGGTAACGTAGTTTTTTAAGAATACTTATTGATGCCTGAAATTCGACGACGAAAGAAAAATATTGGAAAAAGCAGATTTATGACAAATTATTGCAAAACATACATCAAGCCATGGGCAATAAATTATCTGTCATGCTAATCCAGTCGTTCATTTGCAACTAAGTTAACATCCTGCTTTTTACTTTGCAACATATAATCATGTAGTTGAGGGAAACTTTAGATCTGTCGCTATATTTGGCAATTTATCTTACATGAAAACGCGGCGGGATAAATTATGCCTCAATAAATCTAAAAGGTGTAAACTTTGCGTAAGGAATCCATAGGAAACTGATCAATCTTCTTACAACAAGGTCGTTATTTCAGGATCCTATTTTATTTTCCTATGCCAAAGTTATATAGATTTTCGAATAATATATGCTAAGTCATCAATTACGTTTAAGGTAGCGAATCAACACATGGATTGGCTGATATACAATCAATATTGTTGGATATATTGTTTTGCTGTTGAATTACTTTCCGAAGATAAATCAGATGAATTGTTCAGTTGTGCCCGTCTTTTCTACTGCCATTTATCAAAAAAACGGAAAGAAATTGAAGCAAACAGAAAATGTTCAAAACATTTATCATGGAATGAAAACTGTCCCTATTTATGAGCAATATATAATTTTGTAATGTTAAAATTAAACCGAGGGTGGAAACTGGCAGTAATTAGTGGTAATAATTGTGTTGCACGAATCAGATACTCTCTCCTCAGAAGAATACATAAGACTCCTTTCATCTCAAGTTTTGAAACAGACATTTAAAACTTCCTGTTTATTTCGTTCTAATATTTCTTTTTTTTTCTATTTCAGCATAGAGACACCCAAGAAACTTTAGCTGTTTTAGATAGGTTAGATTTAGATACTGAAAAACCGAGCGACGAAGAAATAGCTAGGAAATTTGGTTTTGAAGATGCCTATTTCAAGGGCAGATTATCATGGTGGCAGTTAATGAAACCTAAACTATGGTCTCTATTTGATGAACCCTACTCGTCAACAGCGGCAAAAGTAAGTATTTTATTTCAGCGGAATTTTTATCAAACCGGCGCGTTTAATTAAGTGTGCCTTAAGCAGTCATTCCAAAGTTATTTTTGCAAATTAGTTAGGAAAGTAAAATAAAGGCCTTCAATTAATTGGAAAAGATATTAGTGGAATCTGTTTGAAGAGGGTATAGAGTTTAAGACGGATGTTTGTTAAGCCGATAACTTTTTATTCTGAAAGTCATCTTTGCTTGAAAAGGGTCTTTAGTAATTTATTTGGGCCCTCAACCTGCCGAAGGGATAAGGGATAACCCTTATGACAGTTGAAAACCCTTATTAAAATGGTGATTATGGAAAAAACTGTCTGAGCTGCAAATGTGGCCTTATGGAGTTGTGGCTATCGAAGCTAACAGTATTTCACTCATAGTAAACTCTAAACTATAGTCTAACTCTAAACACTGGACAATTATTATTATTGCGAGTAGAGCACAGATATTATATTGGAAGGGATGAAAAAGCTAAACCCTAGATTAATTTATTCCTAATTGATAGGCTCCGTTAATTAAAAACCTTGCAAAGTAATGAGGTTAGTGTTCGGTTACATTCGTTAAAATGCAGTATCTTTTTACAAATTAATTGTTTGCCTTTGCCAATATGAATCAATTATTATACCTGTCTAATAACAAAAAAACAGCAAAGTAAAAACCGTTTCTTCGTAAAGTTATTGTTTGTTGCTAATTTATTTTAGTACGTATTTTCCTGTTCTGATTGTGGTGCTATTTAAAAATGTCTAACGTATTTTTGAAAATACGTTTTTTCAGCTTCATTCAGGTATTCACAATTAACTATTCAATCGAATAAATTGTAAAATTATATGAAGGCACAGATAACTTATTTAAAATTAAGAAAACTAAAAAAAGGCCGAGTAATACCTACAGATATGAGTTTTTTCAGCATTGCTAAAACAAAGTTGACATATTTTATAGATTTTTCAGAAGAAGCCTGATCTAAAAAGTTTGCGAGCAGGTAAAGTTTGGAGCGTTCCATTATCATTTAAAGTACGAGACAAAATGCTATGATATGGGCTTATTTTAATTAAAATACTTTTCGAAGTTTGATTTGTTCAATGGAAGTTCGCTATTTTCAAAGGTTTTTAATTAATTGTCTGTTTTAAACTTTGTTAATGAGTTAATAGAGCAATTTTTGTCATCTTGTGGTGTCCAAATTGGTTACATTATTGGAAGTCTTTTATTAAGGATCACATCAAGTGAACATTTCCGATCTCTTCAAATAAAACAATTATATTGTCCAAACTGATGCATCGCTCTAATATCGATAGAACAATACGCAGATATCGCATCATATTCCAATAATCGCAGATTCATTGATATACACGAATTGGTTTACATTACCATCATTTACATCATTTGCCATATACTGGAATTGTTAGGCAATATGTGACAAAATTTAATTTATGACACATATTGAAAGTACGTGAATGACTAATTTCTTTATAAATGTCTTATTGTGGTAAAACAATTGATTCGAATTCACAAAAAAAGTGCTTGTAATGAACCGTTTCCTAAATTTGCCAAATAATTAAATTTGAATGAATTAAAATTGATCTACTTAGAAGATCCACAGTCTCGCTAATTTTACCAACAAAAAATTAATTTTTGCCCCTCAACGAACATAGAGAATATTTTATAATCAAGAGTTTAACACTAATACAAATCAATGAATACATGATTCGGAAAAATATTTGAATATTAAACATAGTCAATAAATCCTTGGAAGAAGAAAGAGCGGAAGTGAATGAAGACCGAATGCACAGCTACATTGCAACTGAATTGATGATTAAGAATTAAATTAATTTGTTTCACTTGTTTTTTGCGTCCCAATTGGAAAATTAAGTTGAACTATCTATCTATCACTATCTAATTAATTGGCCGACGTTTCGACCGTTATTGGGGTCTTCTTCAAGGCTCAAATTCTATGTTGAAGTTGTGTCTAATTAAATGATACATTATAGTGAATGCATTCCCATGGCAAAACGCCAGTTATTTAAAAAAAACCGTAAATATGCATTATGTCGAATATGAACGAATTAACGACATACATATTATCGCTGGGGCAATTTTTAAATTACATTGGACTTCTATTAGCCATTAGCCTGGAAAGAAATGCTCAAGCATTTCATCTACTTGTTGGACTGAAGAAAGGACTGACTATATTTATCTTCAAAACATTTATTTGCTTTAATATGCGACTTGCGAAAAACGAGCAGTCATATCTAAATCCTGATGGAAAAATTGAATAAAACCCACTAAAGGAAAGCGAAAAATTATGAAGACTTATGCAAATATAACGGATAGGATCATAAGGAGGGTTGGAGTAGGTACAAGTTAATTAACGGAAATTTATTCAGTTTTAACAAGATCTTCATAGAATTCTTATGATATTTTGAGTGAGTGAAACATTTATTTAACTACTATTTTTAAACTAGTTTTTAAAACTTACGTAACAATTGGAAGTTTCTTTCCACGTTAATTGATTTTTTTGTTTCAGGTAATAGGAGTTTTGTCAGTATTTTTTATCTGCGTGTCTATTTTATCGTTTTGCCTGAAAACCCATCCCGACATGAAAGTTCCAGTCATCAGTAGGATACTTGTGCGGACAGCGAACAATTCGAGTGATTATGTTTTAGACAAATCGGACACTGATGCTCACATAGCATTTTTTTATATCGAGTGCTTTTGTAATGCCTGGTTTACTTTCGAAATTTTAATCAGGTAAGTAAAAATATAACTGTTCTGGATGTATAGTGCGGAAATTATTCGTATGATCTATGTGAAAATCCACCTACTATTTTTTTAAGTTGTTGTAATCAACGTATTCTAAGCGAAACTTGACATGCAACTTCCTAGTGTTGGGCTTTGCAACACTCTCTCGTAACTTTTCCGATTTCACAAACCAACATGCCTCTAGTTCCATATGTTGCAAAAATGCGTCTATAATGCAAACTAAGCAAAAAAGATGTTCATGACTTTGGACAATTTCTCCTGTGGCCATACAAATTGGTATCTTCCGTTTCATATGGAGATATTATATAGAAATATTTATGTTGAATACTCAGTGTTAATGCTGCTCAGACAAATGATTTAAATTTCAACATTTCTCCATCCAAATGTACTACTTTCTACACTACGTAAAGTTGAATAAACCGAAAACTAATTCACAAAATATCCTCATTAGCAAATCTTTAAAATAACATAGGGAGATGAATGGCAGGGCGATTCGATATATATCATTTCGATTCTCAGAGAATTACGTTTAATATGTGTCAATATATGGAAGCAATTTATTAACTCCGGAGAAACCCTTTTCGTTTGCTTTCCCCACTTTCCACCACATTGGTGAACGTCTCGGAAAATCTATCACGTAAGGACTGGAGAATTTGCCATGTCTTTTTGGCACTCCGCCTTTATTAATTTCGGGACAATGGCAAGGATTAGTGGTTGATTGATATAGCAGCACGAAAGTCAATTTAGCGGTAAATGGTCGAATTTATGGAAACCTAATTTTGCGACAAACGTGGCCGATCAGATTTGATACTTAAGGTTTCTTTACGGTAATATGAAAAAATTGAAAATATTGCAATGAGAAACAGAACGTATTGAAGCAACGAATGAATGTTTCATGAACGTCAGTTGATGTTCAATATCGCTTTGAGCCGCGTCAAAGAATGTTCAAACATGGGGATTTGAAATCTGAAATCGCCGGAGGAACACATTAATGCAAGCCATTAAATCTATTGGTTTAATATCCCAGCTCAAAAGAAGGATATTCTCTTTCCAGAAATATTTCGTTCAAAAATACAGCTTTATAAATAAATCACTCCTCGCTATATTCTAAAGACATTCAGTGAATCGCCGTTTCTCAAGAATTTTAATTGCAACGGATTCTACCAAAATGGTTACAAGACAGAAGTTTATTTGGCGAATACTATGCCAGTATACTAAAATCGAAATCAAAAAATGTATCAATTAATGTTTACTTTACAAATACATAATCCAGAGTTGTCAAAAAGTTCCATGAAATCAAACTTTCGTTTCAGGTTTAATAATTATTTTACGAGTTTTATACAGTAAAATGACGAGCGTAATAATAAAAATTTATGAGCTGAAAGAAACTAGGCAATCAATTCAAGTTGATTTTATTGTGCCCTCAACTTTGCTGTTGAATAATTTAGCATACATTAACGCTATAATTCGAGAAACTCCCAACATTAAATCTTATTGCAATTGATAGATCCAGACAAATATAAATCGAAAATTTTCCTTGGGCTGTAACTATCAAACTATTTCGCATAATCCCGATCGACATCAAGATTTAAATCTTAGCTAAGCCGGCGACATTCTTTTTGCGCATAAAATTTAATAACAGAACTCCCGAAAACGAAAACAGCTCGATAATCACAATGTAGGTTATTAATTTTGTCATTTTTTATTTGCAGTAATATATTTTCCCTTTAGTAGCTTTCAAAAGATCAAAAGACTTCACTTGTTATTACGCATAAACGATTCATTATTTCCTTTTTAATTACAACTTCCTTAACAACGAGCTTTTCGGCTTGAATTGTTCCTACAAAAATAAATTTTAATAATTCTCTGTATGATGTAAATGGCAGCACAAAATCAAACATAATGTGAAATACGACAGACTGCTACATTCTCTTTAACTTAATTTGCTGTTTTTGGACATAATGAAAGACGTAAGTCTTCTGATTCCTGGACGGGAGATAACGCATATGGTGGAAAGTTTCCTATGTTTTCCTTAAATTTAGTTAATTTTAATTACGTTTTCAGTTCTATCCAATATTTGTTGTCCAAAACAGTTGCCAGAACTCTTGTTTTTATGTTTGACAATATTGATTAGAAAATATCAAAAACTAGGAAATCGAGACTGAAAAACACTTTGTTTTTCGTAGCTTTATTTTGTATTCACGTACGAATCGAATGTTCACATTCGATTCTTACATAAAAAAGATACTCTAATCGTAACATGTCAGACTTTAAGGCTGTTTCGGTTTTGACAACAGTTAAATAAAAAATGTATTCATTATTCCCCAATGCGATGAGTATTTAATAATAAAATGCGCACTTGTATCCTTAAATCAGTCTTAAATCATGATCAACTGACATCTGAGTTAACTATTAATAATTTTTTTGTTACCTAAATGGCAGAGCAGGAATTAAAATCTGAATCAATTTGATTTCACGGCATGATTTTTAACTTTATTTGCCAATTTTTCAGTCGAAAGAGTTTTCAGTCGAAAGAGCTTCGAAAAAGTAAAGCTGTGTACAATATGTCGAATCACGTTAAGTGTGTTTGGGTTTGAGATCCGATTATCGAGAAAAACACAAACAACGGCCTACCGGATCAATAGCGCAGTAATTCGCCGTTGTTAACGTTATCGATGCTGCTACTTTGCACATTGGGCTGATTTAAGTCGTTAATAGCCCTCACTATTGTTTGCATTTGATATATTAATTAATACTGGGTAACAAAAGATGCGCCCTGGTTTCAAATGCTCTTACAATTGTGAGACTTAGAAATTACCAAACAATTTTTGAATACGGAAAGCTGAAAGAAGTTTTACAAATAAATAGAAATTCAACGTCGACGCAACGTCGACATCGACATCCATGTTTCCGTAACAGAACTGCAGCACATGCAAAACACAAATGGCTTCAATATCTGCCTCTATTTTATAACGAATAATTTAAGCTTTATTTGAATACAGGCTTATTCTCTTATTTAGGTTTATAGCAAGTCCAAACAAATGCGACTTTATCCGATCGTCAGTTAACATCATTGACTACATAGCAACTGCAAGCTTTTATATTGACTTGCTGTTGAGGCGATTCGCATCCCATTTAGAAAATGCCGACATCATGGAGTTCTTCTCTATAATCCGAATTATGAGGCTCTTCAAACTAACGAGGCATTCCTCCGGACTGAAGATTCTAATACAGACTTTTAGAGCTTCAGCGAAAGAACTCACGCTACTGGTGTTTTTTCTTGTTTTAGGTAAGTTGTCTACAATTGTTGGTGCAATTTATTTATTTTTTGTACTTTATTTTAATTAATGATTTGTTCATGTTCATTCGGTATTTTACCTAAGTTTTTTTATTGATTTGTAAAATAAGTATTGTTGGATTAGTCTGTAATTATTCTCAAAACAAGCAAGCAAGCAGGCAAGAAGTTGAGTGTTGCCTCAATTGTGACCATGCAAGCCATTAATTAATATAATATTGGCTTTTGCGTGGTGGAAAATAAAAAAAATATGTTTATAGCATCAATGGAATATTTTTTGATGTATGACGAATTTGCCTGTATATGCGTCGTATCTTTCAATAACGCTTTAGACTGATCGTCAGACTACCAATTAAACAAACGAAATTTTTTAGATACGACGGATCTCAATAAACCTTTTATTGAGATATTTTTTCAGAAGTTCCAAACCTTTTTTGACGGAACACCCGTCAAACTCAAGCTACTGTACTCAAAGTTTCGAAATTGTTTTACAACTCCAAAGCAAAAGTAATAATTTTAAATGAGCCATTCTCTGGGAATTTTACTTTGTTTCTGAAACTATTTGTGTTATCAGCACTCAGGAAGGATACCTGTCATGGCCATGGGTAACTCAGTTAATTTTCAGGAGTTTGCACAGAAATGGCTTGTTGCGTCAACCCAACCGGCACAGTAAATTACCGGTGCAGTTGCCTTGCATTCACCCATTTGATAAAACGTTGCTCCTATGAAAGGTGGTAAACTTTTTTTTAGGTGTTGAAATACCCGACCCGGGCCTCCTAAATTTTTGAGTTGAATGCTACGCGTAATTATAATTGCAGCACACAGAGAAACAAAAGATGTTCAGACACAAAAAATTTACTTTTTACCTTTACTTTACCCAAGTTCACAGTTGTACCCCACACATCGTTGAGAAAATTTTGCTTAGGATTGCAAAAACTGTTACGGAACACATTTTGCATCGCGTTTTTCGGACATAAATTTTTCTAAAACTACAAATACTCTACAAGTTCAGAGTTGTACGTTCAGTAATGAAAAGTGCGCTCGAAATGTCGTCAAAATTTCGTTATATCTTCAAAATTTAATTCAAATCACATGAAATGCTGCTTCGTAAATATTCATTTGAAAATGACCGCTTTTGCGCAACTGCAGACTCGTCAATAAAAACTCAAAAATATATCCAGTAGAAACTTGAAAGAGTGACATTATGTAGAAGAAGTTTTTTTATGGAATTTTTGCATAACGTTGCACCTAAATATTTCATGTTCAAATTTCGTGTGAGTTTTTGCGGCAAATCCCCCAGAGTTTACTCACGCACGTTGTTATAACTTAAGCGAGTCACCAATTCTCTATTCGATAATAGAAAAACGAACTCTGTGGCTTAAATGGTTCACGAGCAATGTCAAAAAATGTGGTCTGCTTCGGGCGATTTTACAATTTAACGAAAAACAGGCAACACTGAAACTCTTGACTTTTTTTTACAAATAACATAAAACTGGAACCCATATTTGCGTATTTGAAACGGTTATTTGGAGACAAACTACAGATGAGCTTGATGCAAAAATACAAAGTCGTCCAAAATATTTCCAAAGTTTAAAAATTCCTTATGGAGGAATCAATAGGTTAATTGAAACCAGATCCACACTGTCAACTGATGCTAACTGTATTGAATACTGGAATCTAAATTTCCATATCTGAAGCGGTTCTTTAGCGAAAAACTGCAGACGAGCTTAATATGAAAATATAAAGCCGCCCAAAATATTCCCAAAGTTTAAAAATTTACTGCGCAAAAACCAATAGCTCAATCGATACCAACCTTATGAGGCATTTGATGAATATGGGACTAAAATTTCTACATCTACATGGATGGCAACCAGGGGAAAAGTCATGCTGAACTTATCGAAACCTGCGTAGTGCCACCTGGAAAGAAAGAAAAAAAATATGTTTAGTGCAGCAGGAAATCTCTCCAAAGCGAAACTTATTTCAAATCATCAAAGCAAAGAGATAGAGAAATATAACGAATCCATCACATATCATTGAAGCAAAAAAATTTATAGATTAGACATCATTCATACCAGCTGTCTGCAAGCTCCATGCTCCATTTTCTAGCCATTAATCCTCAAGCAGTTAACTACACTTTTACAAACTACCGCACTTGCCATAAGAGCCACAATAATCCTATATTTCTCATCGAACAACGCGATTCATACAACTTAAAGGATTATCGACCGATTTTGTCCACTGTCGGTAGCAAACTGAATATCTTCTCGAGAAAAAAAAACTCCGAACTATAGAATAAACATGATTATTTAATCATTTCGGGTTCGCCCTTTCGATGATTCATGCTTTACTTTTCAGCAGTTCGATTTTAGTTTGTTTATTGTTGACATTTTTGTAGAAAGTGTCTTCACACGGCAATATTTTCAAAGGCAAATTTCAACTTAACGAAAGACAACAACAAAAAAACGAAAAACGCTCCCAGTGCCGATCTTTCACTAATTTAATTTTAACATTAGAGCCATTTATTTTTGTCTGAATTTCACTCAGCTGGAGTGATTAATACACAAAACTAAATTTAATAACCGACTTATTTTTTTTTTAAATATTGACTAAACAAAAAACCGCGGAGAACTCATTTAAAAGTTGCTCAATTTCCGAGTGATGATAGAAACCAACAAAATTTCTTCAACTAGTTAAAAATGTAAAAAAAATGCAGTGAGTTAATGGTTCGAGGTGCAGCGCAGTGAGTTAAGTTTATAGTTGATCATTTCTCATCATGATGTTTTCATCCCAGAAATCTGTGGTTAATTTTTGTACAGACTTTTTACAGACTTCCGGCATATTAATAATTAGTTTTCATATATTTTTTCAAATATTTTAGTTGCGTTTTGTCTATTAAGACTGGTATTAAGAACTATGATTATTTTTCCTTTTTTTGGAAAGTAAATGACCGACTTAACATGTACTGGTTTGCTTCACTACAATAAGTAATCGCGTGCAGATGAAGCAACTGTTTTTTGCAAATCTAGTCAGTTCTGATTAATATTAAAAAACTAGTAATTTTCCCACATTTTCTTCAAATTAATTCGGAAAACATCAGTCTTTTTAAAGGCCCACAGAGCTAAACTATTAAACCATGTAAAAGATATATGGCAAACCGTTATCATTTTTCAGTATTCAATAAATCGAACTTTTTCCAATCCGGCTTCTTGAGCTACTTGCCGTCAAGATATCATTGAAAACGCGTTAACATACTCTTATATTGCCACTTCGATATTTCGAATGCTTCTAATGGGTATTTCTTATGAATCTCACTTTTCACAGATTCTGAGTTTCCAAATTTATCTGCTACTCGATTTACTACATTTGAAGAGGTTTCTCGCTTCACTTGAAACCGAGAGAAAAATCTAATTCATTCTTGAAAACAGCTTGGTTGCATTTGTAAACGACAGTGAAAATGGAAATTTAGAATTTATTTAATGTTTAATTTAAAACAAAATGAAAAAGAGACAAGAGAATGTAGTGTAAACGTGTGCAGACAAATGTGCATGTTTTGATAGCAGCTGATTTTACGCATAAAAATATTTCAAAACGATCAAACAAGTTTCCTAAATTGTTTCTGCTTTTTGAGGGCATGATTTTTTATTTGGTTCTAATACTCTGTAAATCTATAACGATAGATTCCTGGGCTATCGCCTTTATTGTAACAAAATTGAGTTCATTTTGGAAGTTAATTAAGATATTTAAATAAACTCTCCTTCTCCGCACGACTGGGAAAAGCAGCCGAGCTAAGTCTACCAAAAGTATTCTAAACTATACGCAGAGTCGCTCTTGAAATATTAGCTAATTAGCTTGCATTATTAGCTCTTGGAGAGCCATCCTGTATACAGGGTTATTCAAGTTATACGACAAGGCAGAATGCGGATGAACTATTCGATTTTTTGAAAGCATCACTTTATGGAGAACTGTGTGATGCAACGTGATGAAATGTGACAATTTTGTGATGCATAGGAAGTACGAATTATTAGATTTATTCCAAAGTTGCATTTACGTTGATGAAATCCGGGGGAAATAAATGAGAAATAAAAAGCTTGCGGTTTAGGTATTAGTTAATTGATCAAATCGAAGATCCTTTTTAAATGACAAATGATCAACACCAATTTCGAGTTTGGACACCAAATTATATTTGGCGGCTACTAATGTTTGGCTAACTTTGTGACAAAGTAATAAAAATTAGACTTAGACTTACAGGGTGTAGTTTGTGTTCAAACAATTGCAAATTTTGTACCTCAATCGAGTTAATTTTTTCAACCACATGACATATCCAAATCAAGATATCCACTTTTTTATATACCTTGGCTACATGTTCATTAGCTAGAAGTTATATCCGTACTAAAAACACTGAGTCGATGTTAACTATGTTCGTTCATCTTTTGCAGGAATTGTTATATTCGCCAGTTTAGTGTACTATGCCGAAAGGATACAAACGAACCCGGACAACGACTTTAAAAGCATCCCTTTAGGACTATGGTGGGCTCTAGTCACTATGACTACAGTGGGCTATGGGGATATGGTGCCCAAAACCTACATTGGGATGTTTGTGGGTGCCTTATGTGCCTTGGCAGGTGTACTGACGATAGCTTTACCAGTACCTGTGATTGTATCAAATTTTGCTATGTATTATAGTCATACGCAGGTAGGTACCACCAAAATTTGATTATTCTGTGAAACGGTTATTTGCACGTTTTTTTTTCGTTGTATTTGAATATTTATAGCCAGTTCTTCTCCACGAATTAAATGTTTTTTAGCACTCGCAAAAGCAACAGAAACAATCATTCGAATCTAATTATATCGTATGTATTAATTATTTACCGGATCGTTAGCGTCAATTATCTATCCATAGTAATCCCAGTGCCAACACGCATCTCATCTCTTCATAGCCAAGATATTTTTTTCAGAAAAATATATGAAACTGAATACTAAACCAAATATATACAAATTTAATAATAAGTGTGTGTTTTGTGCATTACAAAATATTATTTTAATATGTTTTTTGTGAAAAATACATTTTTATCAGAGCGACTGGAATGATTTCCAAACAAAACATAAAGCTTTTGTCAATTCATACGGTAAATTTATTTTACTTTATCACTTTAAGGCTCGAGCCAAACTACCGAAAAAACGACGTCGTGTTCTCCCAGTAGAGCCTACTAGAGGCCCAAGGATACCAGGCCCTGTTATGCCCGGGGCTGCCCCGGGCCTGGGCAATGCAGCAGGACCGGTGGCAGCCCAAAACCGAAGAGTAAACGCAGTCAAATCGAATCATCCGAGCAGAGAAAACCTGTTGGGCGCCCCTGTACCAAAAATGGGTTAGTATCAGAGTGGAGGTGTCATTTTCGTAAGTAAATATCACATTTTGTTTTAAATTTTTATCAGATTTTGTATTCTGCTAATATACAAGGTTATTCACGCTATACGGCACGGACGTTTGCGGCTAGCCCATTTGTTTTTTGCAAAATATTATTTGATAAATTCACAGACGCCTAACGGGTGCACATTTTAAAAATATTTTTGTAATGTACAGAGTATCCCAAAATCCCTAAAAGTATCAAGTTGTGTTTTTCTAAATGAAATACTTTTTTAAATATTATTGCATTTTTGGATTCTCTGAGCAAAATAAGTGTTTGTTTTAATAAGATTTATAATGTCTAAATCGAAAGGTTTTCTAAATAATTCGAATTTTATCAAAATCTAATATTATTTTCATGTGTCAAATACTTTAGAATTATTTACGTTGTGTGAACGTAATTCGTAGTTTGGTGTAACAATAAATCATGTTTTATATCCCAATGATAATAAACTTACCATTTTATATAGGGTGTCCACAAATTTAAACTAATCAAATAAGAACTTTAAGTAGCTATAACTTGATTATTTTAAATACAACCCCATATTTTTTAGCGTACGAGGAAATGCAATTTTTAATTACCTATCGAATGGCACTAGGATGTTGATAACTAACTTTTTGCCCTTTTACAAAACACACCAAATAATGGATCTGTGCACCATTTGGTGTTTTTTTTTATTAAAAGGTTAAATAACATATCAACAATACCATAAAACCGAGGCAAATTAATTATAACAAATGTTCGAAATGTTGATCGTCTATTTCCAGGCACTTGTAAATTCTTTTTTCAAAACCACTGCTAACTGTGGACAACATTTGCGGAGTTACAACTTTTCATTTTCTGCCACTTTATCTAACACCCACATGCAAAACTCAGTTCGGTTTTCAAAATCATTTCCATTTTCCACTGAATTTTATAAGGATAAAAGTTGTGCTTTTTGATAATACTGGAAATACTTGATTGACTAATGTTAGTACTTTTGGATATTAGATTTTCACTAACATTGGGATTTTCGATAACTGAACCAATTACCGTGAAAACATTTTCTTCATCTTCAGTGACAGAGTTCCCTGTAATGGGTTTTTTTATAATTGACACTCCCACTTTTCTCAAATTGGTGTAATAAGTGCTTAAAAACTGTTGGCTTAGGATGATTTCTTTCATGAAACTTTTGAGTATAAACTCGAGAAGCCAATAAACAATTTTTATGACTTCTCCAAGGGTGAAAATCATGTCAATACGCTCTTCTCTTGGATAATTCTACATTTTAACTAAGCAACACAATA